AGTTTAAGTAGGTCTCTTGGGTGAGTTGAGGAAGGCCAGAAGGTTCGTAGGGTTCCTGTTTAGCGTATTATATTGGGTTTTTTTTAATACGAGGAAGATCACAGTCACCCTCAAGGTATTGTTTTGTTTCCAAATTCTAAGCGTGTCCCAGGGAGGCGAGGCGGTCACTTTAAGTTTATTGTTTTTGAGATGTTGAGGCTAGTAGTGGTGTGTGTGTGTGTGTGTTCCTTCTCTTTACGCCCTCCTCTTTCTTCCTTCTTCCTCCTTTCCTACTCCTTTCTCTTTCTTCCTGCTCCTCCTCTTCCTTCTTACCTCCACATTCTTCTTTCTCTTCCCCTTCATCATTTATATTCCTCCTCCTCATCTTTAGTATTTCTCATTTCTCTCCGTCCTCCTCTTAACATATCACCCTCCTCCTCCTTCTTGCTTTCTCATTTTCTTCCCATATGTTTCCTCTCTTCTTTTGCATATTCTCCCTCTACTTTCCTCCCTCTTGTTTACTAATCATCACTTGTTTACTTCCTTCGTTTATTATTAGTCTCGTGTCTCAACTCATCATATGTTTACTTCCCTTCATTCAGTATTGCCAGTACCTCAGCGACCTCACCACCCGATCCCTCCCCCTCTGTGTGGGTAATTTTGCACAGGTCTTACCGTTTTGTTATCTGGTCACACTGCTCGCTGTGGTGTTAATCGATTTTCCTCCTCCTCTTCCTCCTGCATTTTAAAGATTTTGTTCTTTTATTGTTATTAGTAGTTGTAATAGTAGTAATACGTACCTGCCATCACTCTCCTTTCTACCAACAGTCAGTCACCCACCTACCTGCCTACAACGTTTCTACACCGGATATTAAGTGTCGACAACGTTTTTTACCCGGATGCTGTAGTTCAGGAGTTATCAGGGGAGATTATCTTTTACCCGTGAGTCTCGGCCATTGATAGTACGAGGCTTTGAGCTCTTCTTAGGGGCCGGAACTGAAGCAGAATGTTACGAATCGAGGGGATATATTCTTTTATGGTGGGGGGAAAACTAACTCTCTCTCTCTCTCTCTCTCTCTCTCTCTCTCTCTCTCTCTCTCAGGGTTAATAAGTAGCGTCTAGAGTGAAAAAATTAAAGTTTCGATATGTGGAGAACCAATTTGTCGTTTATTTCCTATACCCTGATTGGATGTTAAACTGGCTTGATCTTTTCCTGTGCTCGGAATGGATGTACCCCGTTGTTAGGTCACCTGCTGGGTTCTGTTTAGGATATTTCTTGATAAGAATTTTTTTTTAATATTTCTCTCTGTATATTGGTGGAAATAACCGAGGGATTTTAGACAGAAACTGATGAGTTTTGTTTTGTTTTTGGAAGTTTTGGGGAAATTACTATTGATTTTGGATAAAGAGAGGAAAGGAAATTAATTTAATCCTATTATTTTGAGAATCAGAGGAAGTAATATGTTTCCTTTCACTGAATATGTTAATCTCCTAATGTTAAAGGGGTGGTGGAGGGAGGGAGAGGTTGCCTGTGGTCTCTAGGTACCATGAATAATTTCCTGTACTTAAGTATGGTGCTCACTCCACCTCTTTCATGGAACTCTCTATAGGCGCCCTACTTTTACCACACCAAGCCTACACCCCCCTCCCGCCTACACCCCCCTCCCGCCTACAACCCCCCTCCCGCCTACAACCCCCCTCCCGCCTACATTCCCCTCCCGTATATGCCCCAGTTACCCCCTACCCCCACCCCGCTTTTAAGATGTTACCCCTCATTTTCATCCTCAAGGGGTATGTAGGAGGGGGGTGGTGGTGAACAGGCAGCGGTGAAAAGGAAGATTAATGAAGGACAAGGAGAGGTCGGAGTTGTACGTCTGTAAGCTGGAAGGGTGGTAGAGTTAGTGAGGGGGAGGGAGGTAGTGGTGCGGAGAGAGAGAGGAGGAGGAGGAGAGAGTAGTAAGCGAGAGAGAGAGGAGAGAGAGAGAGAGAGTGTATTAAGTCGAGGGCCAAGTGGACGAGACAACCAGATCCACGACGCACTTTCGGTCCCCCTCTTTCTCCCACCCCAATCCCCTCTCACCCTACTCTCCGGCCCCTGTGTCGAGGCTGGCGACGTGCCATTGATGGGTTCCGCTGCGTGGAGGATCTGGCGACGACATGTTGACCAGGGAGGCGGAGGAAGCTGTCTTAATACGGTACACACTACACACACACACACCACCACCACACCACACACACTAACACCACACCACACACACCACACCACACCACACACACCACCACACACCACCACACACCACCACACACCCACCCACCACCACACACCCACCCACCACCCACCCACCCTACTTATTTTTTTAACCTGGAAAGTATTATCATCATAGGTTAGGCTCAAGAAATGTATTATATAGGCGTGTCCTTAGAGCGTGTGTTATAATGGTTGGTTTAATGGTACATAGGAATCTGTTTTAAGCTACAGTTATCGGGATTTATTTTGTTTTTTCTTATGTAATTTTGAAAGATTTTATTCATTGTTTTCTGAAGGTGTTGACGAACCATTGATCATTGACCATATTTCTTTGTCTTTTCTTGTTGTTGACTCCTGTTGCGGGTCGTGCTGTTCCATGCTACTGTTGCCGTTTGTATTCTCACCTGTTTTACTTTGTTTTAAGTCTCTCTCTCTCTCTCTCTCTCTCTCTCATATATATATATATATATATATATATATATATATATATATATATATATATATATATATATATATATATATATATATATATATATATATATATATATATATATATATATATATATATATATAATTTTTTTTTTTTTTTTATTATTATTAATTCAAGCTGTCCTTGACTTGTGGGGCCTTCTTGTTCACGCCGTCTAAATTAAGTTCTATTCAGTGAGGTGATTGGTCGTGAGGGGAATTTCATCCCTATTAGTGTAAGTATGGGGAGGTTACTGATTTACGGAGTGGGTTGATGGAGGGGGGGGGGTACTGTGTGGTGGCCAGCCATTACACAAGTTTAGAAGGGCGGTCCTTGAGTTAGCGGTTAAAGGGGCAGTTAACCTGGGGAGAGAGAATATATATGTGTGAGTGTATGTATGTGTGCGTGCGTTTCTTTTGGTGGGGGGAAACACTTCGTTAAATACGACGTTACATAAAACTTCTCAACACACCGTTCCTCTGTAAAGGTGAAAGTCCCATATGCCTGAGACAGTGTAGATACAGCATGGCCCCTTCACTTCCCCCAACTGTAGAATGAGGTTTCCATTTACGCACAAAAAAACAAGAACAAGAACAGTCAGATCAGGAACGTTGGGTATTCTGCCAACTAAACAAAGCCAAAAATTACGTCATACTATTTTTTTTAAGAAGATTTTCTCCCATTAGGAAAAACAGAGCTAAACATTTTAAACTCTCGACCACATCTTTTTGTTTGCTATATCTCGTCCCAAGAGAAGGGAGATTATAACTGTGGAGCTGAAGTCTTAATTGTGTTCGGCCTAGTTGATGATGATGGCGGGGGACTGATGGTAACGAGAAGGTCATTTTCAGAGGGGGGAGACAGGGAGAGCAGGAGAAGTGGGAGACAGAGAGAGCAGGGGACAGGGAGAGCAGGAGAGTGCGGGTAGGGAGACGAATATGATGAACAAGTTACTGGGGACTCTGGAAGATAGGATTGGCTGATCACTGGGCCTGAGTGATAGTGTCAGACTTGTCAATGAGTGGGAAGGGGATGTGGCAGGCGAGCCTGGGGGAGAGAGAGGAGGGATGGAGGCGAGAGAGGGGAAGAGGGTGAATGAGAGAGAGAGGGGAAGAGGGTGAATGAGAGAGAGAGGGGGTGGGAGAGTTGTCCTGCTCCCCCTCTTTCCCCAGTACCAGTCTTACGCAGTATGACTAGACCTACTCGTGATGACCTCCCACAGTAGACTGCATCACGCTCGTTCTTGGCATCTTGTTATTTGGGGGAACCCAGGAACGAGCACAATAAGTTTTCTGCGCCGCCCTTAGAGGTACCTTGTCATGTCTGAGTTGAGTAAAGTTAATGTAGAGTTGTCTTTTTTTTCTTTTTTTTTTTACTGGTGAATTAAAAAATACTGATTATCTTGTATTTCTGTTGTTGTTGTTGTTGTGTGTTTTTTTTTGGGGGGGGGGGTATTATATACTATTTTCAGGGTGTAATTTGCATTGCTTCATTAAATTTGTAAATTAGCTTTGATGTTTCCTTATTTTCATTTATCATTTGTGAAGGTCAAGTGGCTATGTGTCTTGTGAGACCGTAGAAATAACCGTATTTATTTGTGAAATAAGTCAGAAAAAAGTGTGACGAAAAATATATGTAAATCTGTGTTGATGAGGGAACATACACTCTAACGTCCTGGGGGCAACGTGAGGGAGACCCGCAGCCACTGTTCCTTTGGTCTAAAGAAAGTGTAACCTTTGAACCAAAGGGGGTGTGTTTATTGGTGCAAGGAGCATCTGTAGTGGAGGGAGGACGGGGAGGTAATTGATGGTGCAGGAGAAGACTGTGGTGCAGGAACAGTTGGTGCGTGCACTCTCTCCATACTCCACTGGTACTCCATTCCTCCCCACACTTCCCTCCTCTTCCACTCAATTTCATTCTCTTCACCCTCAAGTAATTTTTCCCCTTCATCCTTCATCATATTCTGCTCATTAGGGCTTACCAGCATTAGTCGTGAGCGTGGTAGAGGCTGTAGTGGTGGTGATGGTGTTGGTGGTAGCTAGGTAAGAGGGAAGTGAAATTGTTGTTTTGGTTAGTGATAGTGACGTGTGGTGTTTATTGGGCGGGTGTAAAGATGAGGCAGTTATAGGGTGGGTGCGGGGTTGTGGTAGATGGGAAGCCATGTCGCCGCTGTTCATACTTCACCATTTAACATAATTATATTATTCGTGCTTGAAACTATCTTTATTTGATGCAAAAACTTCTTTAGCAAATCCAACTTTCGTGGGAATGTGAAGAAGTGAATGTTAATCTTTTTTCTTTCAGGGACTGATATCTCAGTGAGCTAAGCTCCTTCGTGTAGGAATTTGTCGTGAGAAAACCGTGAGTGAGTGCTGATGTAGCGGATTAGGATGGTGGTGGGTGTCGGAGGTTAGTGGCACTGGTCAGGTGGTGTTGGTCGGCAGTGGTTGGTGATAAGGTCGTCGTGTGCAGTGAGTGTGGGTCATGTGAGCGTGATGGTGAGCGCCCCTTTTGACGCTGCTGGTGTCAAGAGCCCCGCCATGGCTGGGGGCTTCCCTCGTAGCTGCTCGTGGTCCGTGACGCCCGCCACGCCACCCGTCGCCGCCCTCTCGGCCCCCGACCACCCGCAGCCACTCGACGACGGCGCCCACCGTAGCAGGTGTTTTGATGACCCGTTTAGGAAGCGCGCCAGCGTATCATGGGTGGTGGGTGGCTTGCGAAGCCCCACACGCCCTCACCATCACGGCCCACGGCCTGACCGAACCCCGCGGCGCTCCTTGGGCGCAGTATGGCGTGTGTCCTCCTCTAGCCCCGCACGCCAGCTTGGGGCTTGGCTAGGGCGGAGACCTCGATCCTTCGCTGGCACGGAGGAAACTGTTAGTGCCATGTACAGCAGTGGCCACACCTTGGCGCCACCCACTTCACCCGTCCCCTCACTCTGCTCCTCTTCCCCGGAGCCTCCCTCGCCCCTCGACTCCTTGGGAGCACGTCAAGTGAGTGGAGGATCAGCGGGTGCTGCCCCCTGCCTCAGCAGCAGTCCATCTGCCGCCTCCCTCGCTGCTCTCAACAAGCCTGTTGCCCCACGCCGCCCCACACGCCTTGTCATCAGTGGGCGTGCGCGGCCGCGCCGCCTCTCCCATACTCCCTGTGTTACTAGGTACCCATATCTGCAGCTCTTGGAGCATGCTGCATCTTATGTATCAGTGTAATTTGTTTATACATATAAATTATTACTATAATGCACTCAAGTCAAGAGTTACAAGGGTCTCATGAATCAGAAACAATAACGCCACTGCTGAACTCCTTCATATTACGGTATGATAAATCCTTGTCTCTTCTGTTGCAGGCTGTGTAATGTGACAGTGACACGGCTGCAAGTGACGCATCCTCTTGGTGGAGACCTCAACTCTGTCACGCTGGCTGTCAAGATGCAGTCCTCCAAGCGCACCCTCCGCTCTAACGAGATCCCCATCCCCCCTAGTGGCACTCTTGACATAGAACTACAGCTCACCTTCTCCCTGCAGGTGAGTTTGGCACGGTTCCATTTCATCTGTAGCACCATTCCCTCTCACCCCTTACACCGTTTCTTCTCACCTATTATACCCTCCCCTCTCACATATTGCAGCAGCATCTTTCAGCTATGGTACCATCCTTTCCTACCTCGAAGCACCTGCCTTTGTCACCTCACTCGTGCCCTGTCCCCTCCTTCCTACCACTTGTCACTCTCCTCCCAGATCCATTGACGCCCCCACAAATTTGGGGGATTCCCTCTACATAGGAACCCTATATAATGGTGCCGACCACAGTGGTACCCTTAACAGTTACTCACCACAATAACCTCTGCCACAGTGGCCCTTCACAGTAACCACCAGCACAGTGGTCGCTGGTAGTGGTAACCTCACATTTACGTCATTCATAGTGGCCTCCTCTCCAGTGACCCTCACTGTGTGAACCCCCACTGTGTCAACCCCCATTGTGTCAATCCCCCCACTGTGTTAACCCCCCACTGTGTCAACACACACTGTGTCACCTACCCACTGTGTCAACCTCCACTGTCAACCCCCAGTGTCAGCCCCAGTGTCAACCCCACTGTGTCAACCCCAGTGTCAACCCCCAGTGTCACCCCCCCCACTCTGACACTCACTCTACTCACTTGTACAAAATGCAGTGGATTTCCAACCATCCCATGCTGGCTCTAGAATTTCAATTAAATTTGTGTTTTTTCACGTCTGAATTATACCAAAAATTAATTGTTTATTCCAGAAATTGTGTTTACCGTATTCATTATGGCCTCCAATAACAGAACTCACTTTTTTTTCAATATTGATGGTGCCATTGAATGAATAATATTTGGCTATCATATTAATTTAATGGGTATTACTTTGACTTTAGTCTTCATAGGAAATATTGACAACAGAAGACATGTTTTGTTTGAGAACATGGCTGATTGAATAAGTGACTTAGTTAAATAGAAAGAGCAAGTTGACAGGCAGTATATCAAAATGTATACAATATGTAGGTAAAATATGGTAGTTTTTGTCATCTTCAACATTGAGTGCTCTTTGTCAAGGTAGAATTTGAAAACCTCATTACAGAACATCATAGTGCATGAGGCCGGTACCTTGGATGGCCATGCTGCATGAACACTTTAGTACTCTGTAGTGGTTCTTCTTCATTAATTGGGGTTCAGGGGCTTATTAACAATTTAGCAGTACAACACAGTCCTCACTTTTGTGTCTTGACATTTCTGTTATAACTTATATAGTAAGTCTTAGTTCTTACAATAGATAGCAAAAATAATATTTATTAGAAAAAAAGAAGATATTTTGGGGTTACCCTGTATATTTTTTTATGGTATGAGTTTGTTAGTTCCCCTGTCCTGATCATATCTCTTGTATCAATAAAGATATACTGTCCAGTAATTGTACTAATGAAACATTCAATTATACGTCATTGTTAGATGAAGTGCAGAACATTGTACATTATTTGAGTTTTTGTCTAAGGTCAGGGTCACAGCTGAAGGTCAGAGGTAAATTATGGCAACGAGTGTATGATGTTCTGTGGTGCATTCCCGTAGTCTCTTATTCCATCCAACTAATTTTTTATGTCCCTCTTCCTCATCATATGACCTTACATCCCCCCCCCACACCCCTCCAAAGGTTGGTACAATACGTTACCTTCAAATACCAATACCATGAGCATATATTCCGTACTTGTATGTGCCGCCAGATCTCGATGATGAACATTTATGTTGAATGTAAATTTCAATAGATTAAGTTACAATACTGTAATAATGTTGTCTGTCATTCAGTACCCACACTTCCTGAAGCGTGAGGGCAACACGCTGCAGATTATGCTTCAGCGGCGCAAGAAGTACAAGAACCGCACCTTCTTGGGTTTCAAGACACTGGCTGTTGGAGTTATTAACATGTCACAGGTGAGACTAAAAACAGGGAACAGGAGGAAATGGAGCAAGATTGTGATTGATGAAAGGAGAAGGAAGAATAAAGGTGCAGAAAAAAGAGAAATGAATACAGTACTTATGAAAAAGGGAGTTAGAAGGACAGAAGAAGGTAAGATAACGAGGGAGGGCAAGGAAAGGGCGGAGGATAGGGGGTAAAGGTAATGAGGGAAGATAAAGGATGAGGGGGAGGAAAGAGGGCTAGAAAGGAAGGTTAAGGTTAATAAGGGATGATAAATGATAAGGGGGAGGAAGGAGGGTTAGAAGGGAGGAGGGGAAAGGTTTAGAATAAAGGGAGCATGTCAAGAAGAGTGAGAACAGAGAAAAAAGAGAATGGATGAAAATGAGAGAAAATTGGAATGAGAAAAACATGGAGATTTGGAAGAAAATTATTAATAGAATAGTTGCAGTGAAAGACAAGTGATAAGACGTAAACAAATGAATAATGAATTAATAAAAATTTATGGATAAAGGGATGAGTAAGGAAGATTGGACAAGATGAATATTGTAAAGCAATTGAAGTTAAAGTAATTTATTGGCTATATTCTTATAGGTTTCCTTTGAAGAAGTTTTAAGAAATCTATGACTGCACAGAAGACCTTTAGTTCATTGATTTTAAAATTTAAATTTTACTTTGAGAATTGTGTGTTTTGGTAGACATACACATGTTCAGATACTTACTGTATAGTTGAGGATTGTGAAATTCTGACTCGGTTCTCAAAAATTATTTTTGGTACACTTTTTAAGCATATTACTGTAGTGCAGTACCAGTACAGTACTGTAATATAGTTTTTGAAAGCATGACAGGTTTAATAGATACAAGAATGCCTGTCCATTTTTTTATCAATTATCTGGACCAGCAAACCAAGAAATTCTCGTCAAGATTCATACATTTTGTGATAGTCTGCAAGGCTTATGAAAATATCTTCCCTAACAGCAAGATATTCACATATGTAAATAGCTATCCGAGCCTTTCAAGCCACAAATAAGTAAAAGTGTGATACAAGAGGTTTATGCTACATAGATATCAACACAACAAAAAACATTAAGGCTGACAGGTTTTTTTTATTGCCAATGTCAGAGATTCAAGAGTAGTACGGTATTGATACTGTATGATAACAACATAGAAATAAGACTTTGATTGAGTAATTTACTCTCATTCTCATTTTGACAGGTTCTCCAGCGTCCGGTCGACAGGGAACTAGAATTATACAGTGAAGGAAAGGAGAAGGGGACGTCACTAGCTCGAGTTACCATGGTCTCCCTCTCCTCCCAGCCTGTGGACACAGATGAGCCAGCAGAGAGAACAAAGTCTTTCATGGCTGATAATCCTGGTGAGGAGGTTTAATTTGGAAGTTGCTTCATTAATAATGACCTGCTTCAGTTAGGGAAACATCTATATTAAGGCTTGTTACTGAGAATCTTGCGTAATGGATGATGGCCAAGGGAAGGTCTAGGTGTTGTGTAAGTTGCTATAGCACCAAGATTCGTTTAGTTCTCAACACTGAATAGAGATTTGGGCATCCCAGACCCCCTCTCTGAGTGATAGAGTTAGTTCTAACAGAAATTTAAAAATTTTTGTTGGTGCCAACCCTCACTGTCAGAGGTTAGCTTGAGTTGCAACTCATAGACTTGATGGGTAAAATAAATGAATCTCCTTGTCCTTGATCTATTAATTGTTACAACTTTACATGAAAAATATTCTCAATAATGTCTAGTCTTGAACAAGCTGGTAAAGATATAATATTCTAAAAAGAATTGTGTCTACACTTAAGAAGATTGTAATATCTCTTAAGAAAGTTGTGGTACAGTTGCGGAAATTTGTTCTTATACCCCCTGTGATAACCCATGTCTCTAAACGGCCGACCTATATCACCTATAGCAAACCTATCCACCAATCACATCCGGCGTTACACGACCAATACCCATTCATTCATAAATATTAATACAGTACTACTACTGCGATGTTGCCGTTTGGAAACACGGGTTACCACAGGGGATGTATGAACACATTTCCGCAACTGTACCACTTAAAAGGGTTATGACACCACTTCAGAGTTATGACACCAATTACTGTATGAAGGTTGTGACACCACTTGAGAGGATTATGACACTATTGAAATCATAACTGATTGCTTTGTTTGGTATCAGTTAAATTTGAAGACTTAAAAACAGGTTGAACATATTCATTGTTTGTAAGTAAATACTGTATGACTTGGGTGGCACTTCAGCTCTGGCTCCTCTCTTGGTGCATCTCTCGCGAAGGCTCTCACAGGGCCTACCTCAGGGGGGCTCCTCTCCACTGCTGTGTCCAGATAACCCACTTGTATGTCTTCCATCGCTGACACGGATGCCAGGTCTTGCAGGTTCGGTAGTTGGTTGTCATGGTAACCAATCTGCTCGAGTGATTTGTATAACCCACTGACTGAGTGCTTTAATATACTGTAGTGGACAGTACTTTCATATATGAATTTATTATGTGATGTTAAATATTCTGCATGAATGTTTTCATATTTTTTTGCATGGTGGTGATAAAATAGTTAACATCTAGTTATGTTATCACCAATTTGTAAGATAGTATTCTCAGGCCAAAGAAGGATACTGTATCATATAGTTTAATATTGCAATGATTGCCTTTAAACTTTCCATACTGAATAATATATCCTGCTAAATCACCACATTTTATTCTGTTTAATAATACAAGTAATTGTTATCACTTCCTGAAACTGATGAAATTACTGTTACGGTATGTGTCCTTAAATTTTCTAATCGTATTTCAAGCCTAAAGATATTTTTCTTGCACCCTCAGATCGGTCAGTGGATCTAGTAGAGGTTTACAGTGATGATGATGAAGATTACAGCTCACAAGATGAAGGCAGTGATTCTGAACCTATTCTCGAAGATGGTTCTAGACGAACCCATCATCACATGAGGTCCAGCGCCCGCTCCAAAAGTTTACCCCCCAATGCTCGGGTAAGTTGGATCATGTTGTTGTGAATAAGATAGTTGATTGACTGTCTGGTATGTAAAACCAGTGAAATGATTAATAAATGTGTGATACTGTACTGAGGTGTTTCTTGTGTGCAGTGTGAACTTCCTTTAGTTTATACTCACTCTGAATCAAACACCTTTTATATTTTCATCATGCTTCACTTCCTTTTTTATTTTAACTTAAGCCATAACAAAATAATTTTCCTTTGACATTAACTTGAAAGGCCTCACTTTTTTACTTTTCTAGATACACTGTGTCAAAACTTTATCCTTGCTTGTGGGTAAGTTTAAGGAGGATATCAAGTAATTTGTGTTTTAGGTAAAGTGAAGACATGTACTGTACTGTAATTCATATGGAAATTATAAGATATACATGACTCAACATTTGGTATCATAAATTGTACATTTGGTTGAAAACTTAAATTTTTATTGAACAGGTATTTCACCCCCCATATGAAAAATTTACAAATTAGCTGGTACTGTACTTAGAACTAGTGAGGTTCTAACATATAGAAAAATTAATAGAGATATTATAACTGTATACAAAAAAGTGAATATTTGTCACATTAAAATTCTTATTAAATTCACAGGCCTGTTTTTTTACTGTTTTCTGACACCCATTCCTGCTTATTCCTCAGCAACGAAACCTAAAGCAAAGGTTCATTGCATTGCTCAAGAGATTTAAAGTTCCTGAGGCCTTGCAGGCATTTGATCAGGATCAAGAGCTGGATCCCAGAACAGGTATTTAGAACACTTTTGAAATGGTGTTGTGAATTGTATTACATGCACTGTACGGTACTGTATTTTGATGTGTAAAGTTTTACACAATATTTATTCAGTGCATTGCTTGATAACTACCTAGCTGTAATTTACATCATAACACATACCTCCTGTATTGTGAATGAAGTGGAAATTTTTCCTTGATGATAAAAAAAAAAATTAATGGCTTGTTAGTAAAATCTTGAACTATCCTAATCCAATTATTAATCATCTTTACACATTTTCTGCCCTTGCCTTGCAGTTCTGGGTGAATATCTGGAGACATTAAAGTGTTTAGGGAAAGTTCTTCATATTTATCTCACCAGTTGTTTAAATATACCTGGGTGTAGTATGACCTTTGATATGTAGATTATTATTTCACATTTTACTTCAAAATACTGTACAGTGGACTTTGTGTTGATTATGAAAATATGTATTTATTATTATGTGTATCTGAAAATAAAATACATGTTGACATTCAGTTAGATTCTGTACTCATAAACTAGCATTATACATTATTTGCGCATAGTGAAATCAAAGGAGTTATAAGTATCCTCGGACAATATGCCTTTGGGTGCTCTTAGAAAAAAATATAAATTCTTATATTCTTTCATAGCTGGTGAAGTGGACGAAGCGGAAATTGAAGATCTTTTTGACGAGTTAGAGGACCTTAGTGACTCTGGGCCAGAAGTTGACACCATCTCCATTACATCGACACCAAAGCCTTCCCTACGGCCGTACTTCTCCTCCTCTAGATCTCTACTTAACGAAGGTCTCAGTGTGCCAGGTTAGGGTGTTTTTTTAGGATTTGGGTGGGATAAATCTTCACAGTCACATTTTTATAAAATTTTATGGTTTAGTTCTATGTAGCTATGGGAGGGAGTCAAACATATCAGGGAAAAAAATATTATGGTTAGGTTTTCAAGAGTTATATAAATTATGATAATTATTAATGGATGGAATGATAGCTTATACTGTAGATTTTATGTAGTTTATGATTTCAAAGTTAGCATAAGGAAGGTTTTGGCATTCGGCAGGTCTAGAATTAACTTTGAAGAGAAGTATATTTCATATCGTCTAATTAAGGACTTACATTGATTATTGTTTGAAATGTTTTATTGCAGTTCCATTACATCGCTTAGATTTATATTAACCCATTTCCTGCTAAATTAGTAGACTCATAAGCAGAATCCTTTCAGATGTTTGTCAGGATCACTTGCTAGAACTTGTGTTGTAGATACATAACTCATTCATTAATGGCATTTGCAGTCTTATGATACAGTACTTGAAAATATTTGAAAAATCTGGATCCATATTGTAATATTTTTTGTTTTTTTACTTAAAGAATTCATAGCCCAGGGTCATTTTGGAGTAGTGACAGCCATACAGTATTCACAATTGAAGGATTCAGATTCGCTATTTTGCCAGCAACTTTTCAGAATGTGCACTGTTTAAATAAATTAACTTCTATATAGTGTATTGTTCTAGTGGCCCTCCTTAACCATTCAAGGTTTGGTACAAAATAAAGCTTTGTAAGAGCAAAATTACACACATGGAAGTTAACTTCTTGTGGAAAATATGGTATTTGGTTTGTTTCCTAAAACCTGTACAATCTCACCCACAATTAGAGTTTCTAAACAAAGGTATTTGCTTTTAAAGTCAACTGAACAGTGACATTCATCAAAGTACTGAATCATAGTTACACAAAAACAAGTGAAATCTGTGCATGAATACTTCAGAATTGTTGGTGGTAGTGTAAGGTAGTTAAGTCTGTGGGCAGGAATGGTTTGTGAGGGCTGGGCATATATCTAAGTTTCTAAAGTGATATACTGTATATATATATATATTTTTTTTTACCTGATAGTTACAGCAACACGAGAAGACTGCATAGGGTGCTTGGAAGCCCTGATAAGGCATAGAATTAGCACACAAAAACCACAAACACAACATGGAAACTATAATATACAGTACAGTACACAAAGTGGGATGTAAGAGTTGCAAGGTAACGATGCTCTTTACTTTTTGGGCATTGGCCAGTGATAGTGATGCAACAAATGGGTACATCCAAGATGGCTATTTGATTTTTCTATCATGTACTTATGCAGACTACTTAAACATTCCCAAAACCCTTGTGCACTTTTTATTCAAAATAAGGGTGCAAATAAATTTATCAAATATTTTTTTCACCATAAATTATATTCGTATTTGTCGGAGATCTCTGTATCTTCTGAAGGTCTAAGGTCTTATCTCCTTCCATCAGTTATCATGTTTTAACTGTACCTTATGGTATCTTGAGCATTTCATTTTGCTTTCAGCATTTTAGAGATTTCATGAGCTAGATACTAGCATATAGTACTGTAGTGGTAGTACAGTTTTGTATTGTGCTAAAGAGGGAAGATAGCATGGAAACTTATTGTGTTTGTGCATTGGGAGTATTAGGTGATATGCACTTCATGAAGCACTGTACCTGTGGTGTAAAGTTTCAAAAGTGTAAATGTTGGAGAGATATTTCAGCTCTTCTCTTTTCGTATGAGAGGCATCCTCCTCCATTTTGATTTACTACAATATTTAAATGCGAATGTACTGTAATAATCAAGTGCATTGTTATTCTGTGTAGTTCTCTATAGTCTTCCATTCAAACAAATGCTAGCAACTGCAGTACATATAACTGGACACTTGTATTCGTAAGTTCACCATAGGCATTAATCCTACTGTTGTGTCAGTAAGTGTTGACATGGATTAATCTTCTCTGATATATATATATATATATATATATACATATATATATATATATATATATATATATATATATATATATATATATATATATATATATATATATATATATATATATATATATATATATATATATATATATGTGTATATATATATATATATATATACTGTCCTTGTTTGGACTCTGTTGCATGTATAAGTAGTGAAAACTTTGATTGCATTTCTACTGGAAATAGCACTAAAGGGTTATGAATGATACATTTGATGCTATTATCATTTGTTATATTTTTTAATTACTACACAGCACGAGATACTTTGGTCATATAATGGGCAAAGTTGGGGATAGGAGGGCCAGGGGAAGACAGAGACTGGGATGGATGAATGAATGAAAATAAAACCTGGGTCCCTAGAGAGATACAAAACTTTTGAGGATTGGTAAAAGCAGCCCAAGAATGTTTAGAGTAGAGAACTGTTGTTGCTAACACTCAGATATGAGGACGGTACTTTGATTCAGTGAGTATGGCACAATTTAAATTTTGAGTTTAAAAAAAAAAAACATTGAAGTGTATCCTTCTTTGTTACTGCAGTTTGGATCCTAACAGTTCTCTTCAAAAGTCTTTCATGTGAATTCGATTAAGCTATTCATACAGTAGATAGGTAACAGAAGTGGAACACCCTTTACATGATTGAGTCTGGGTATTGATATGCTAGTGTGGTAGCACTACATATTATCAGTGTGTGCAGTACACTGAAACACAGTTGGACTAACTCATATATTGTAATATGCTCACCATGGGCCATACCTAGCTACTGAGACATTACCTAGCTCTGATCAGCTTGGTTGTCACTGTATTCATGGCCAGTGGCATAGCTTACAAGAACTCAGTAATTCACCAGAATGCTTTTCTTTTTGAGTGATTGTGTTTGCAGATTGAACTAAGAGATAACAAACTCAATCAATTTCTGATTGATAACAATTAATGCTAGACTTAGATTATATTAATCTTGACAGAGTTTTGAAAAGGAGAAATTAATATTTCACAAAGTCATGAACTTGCTGCAGTTCAAAGATTTGGTTTGACTTTTCAGTAAAGGTTGTCTTTGTTTCAGTAGGACCAATATTTTATTTCATATATTTTGGTGTTCTTGCATTTAAGTGTAGCAAGATTATGCTATACCATTACACTAGTTGTTTCCTCCTCGGGTACCAAAGGTTTAGTACACAGTGTGCTGTACAGGTATTCTTTCTCTTCCTAAAGGGCCATCATGCCTATGAGACCCACTTTTTTCACCTTGTGTAAGCTCGGTGTGACTACACTACATAGCTTTGATGAACAAGAGACAAAGTACTAAAGTTATCAATATGTAATGCATAGATTTATATTAAACTAACAAAATATCTAGTGGGTTTGTATTGGAAATAATAATGTATGAAAAATATTAATACAATAATCTCACCATTAGCTGGATTCTTCAATCCACAGAACTCTCCATTACCCTGAAAAAAAAAAATTTAGTACAGTATTCCGAGAAATTCAGGGAAATATCTCCGTTTTGAACATTCAAACAAATTTTCGAGAGATTGCATCATGTACCGACAAACGCTGAGCAAGTGGGTGGGTAGGCTCAGAGTGCTCATGAGCTATGATTGTCTACTACAGTCAGGTGACTACATGGGATGCCTATGATTGGCTGATGTATTTCACAGCCTATCTCCTCAAACTCCAGCATCATAACACTCTCAGTTCATTGTCTGCTGCCATTGTACAAGCTTGTTCACTCAGTCACTGCTATTTTCACAAATGATCTGTGTTGTGCAGTACTGTACATTACTGTACCAGGATATAATCAGCAAAGAACACGGTTAAAGCAGTGCTAAAATGTAAAAACTGATTACAGTTAAGTTTATTGTGTACATTCAGTAAGTGTTAAAGTTCCGTATGTACAATACTGTACATAGAGTGGACAGTGTATGCCTACTGTAGTCTAGTGTGTAGAGGGTATGTGTACAGTACAGTATATACAGTGCATGTACAATCCCTCCTTCATGGAGGGATAGGAGAGTGACAATTAACACCAGCTGCCACAGTAGATGGTACAGGACAAAGCAGGCCATACTGTATCAGCATATCACAATTAGGCCTGCCTGCATCACAAGCTCAAGATTATAACATCTGCTGGTGAATACAGTATAGTGTATAGAATAGTATATTTTGTTTATTTACAATATATTGTATGTGGACAGTAGTGTTTACATAAATATATACAGATCTGTCTCTCTCCGACTGCAATATGACGCGGAAACATTCACCAGTACCCGGAAAGCAGGGAGATTGATGTTCTCAAGTTTTAATAGAATGTTCTTGTAGGAAATACTGTATTAGTGTGTGTAACTTACCTATGCCTGGTGTGGCTATAGCAGAGGGACAAGGCAGTTGTTCAGCATTCTAAGGCAGACTCATTTGTTGTTGTAAGAAATATAAAAAGATGTAGAACAAGGTAACATACAGCACTGTATAGTGAAGTACTATACATGTATACTGTATACTGTATTGTTATTTTCCATATAAGGATTATGGTTACTTTCTTTCCGACATTGAAGTGACCAAACAGACTAAGACTTCATTCAACCCTATATCAGCTGCATTATTACCAACCAGTTTTTACTTTGACGTCATGTATGGCCAAGTGATTTTTACTGGAAATTGAGTCCTTACTTTAAAATCTGATGTTTATAACTACTGTTATAACATGTAGAGTTATGGTTAAGTTCATCAAATCATAAATTATTATAACATCATTTGTCTTTTCACCAAGTTGTAAGATGAAAAATCACACCTCCGAAGGTGTGTGTTGTAACAACGATTCTTACATAAGTAACAATCAGAACAAGGATAGTGAAAATTTTGTGATTTTTACTAAATACTACATTCAGTCTCCAGGAATATTAGGTTGTTTAATTATTGCTTAATTTAATAATCCTAGTGTAGCAGTGGCATATTCTTGTAGAAAGCAAAATACATTTTTAAATAGTAC